AAATCAAAACCACAATGAGATAGCATCTCACGCCAGTTAGAATGGCAGTCATTAAAAAGTCAGGAAACAACAGATGCTGGAGAGGATGTGGAGCAACAGGAACACTTTTACACTGTTGGTGGGAGTGTAAATTAGTTCAACGATTGTGGAAGACAGCGTGGTGATTCCTCAAGGATCTAGAACTAGAAATACCATTTGACCCAGCCATCCCATTACTGGGTATATATCCAAAGGATTATAAATCATGCTGGGTAAAGACACATGCACACGTATGTTTATTTCAGCGCTATTCACAATAGCAAAGACTTGGAACCAACCCAAATGTCCATCAATGATAGACTGGATTAAGAAAATGTGGCACATATACACCACGGAATACTATGCAGCCACAAAAAAGGCTGAGTTCATGTCCTTTGCAGAGAAATGGATGAAGCTGGAAACCATCATTCTCAGCAAACTGTCACAAGGACAGAAAACCAAACACATGTTCTCACTCATAGGTGGGAATTGAACAATGAGATCACTTGGACACAGGGTGGAGAACATCACACACCAGGGCCTGTTGATGGTTGGGGGACTGGGGGAGGGATAGCATTAGGAGAAATTCCTTATGCAAATGATGACTTGATGGGGTGAAGCAAACCAACATGGCACATGTATACCTATGTATCAAACCTGCACATTGTGCACATGTACCCTAGAACTTAAAGTAGCATAATTTAAAAAAAAACTCAGGAGATTTAAAATAAAGAATTAGAAGATTACTTAATTATAAATCCATAGGAAATTAAGCAAATAAACAAAAATGGACTTTTTTAACTCCAAGGAAAATAACTAGGGGAAAAAAGGAAATGGCAACATAAGAGCCTATGTGACTTAACCTTAACTATCGTTTAGAAAGTAATGATAATGCTTATACTGAATACTGGGCTAACTAAAAAGATTGTGTAAGAGATGGGGTCTAGCTACATTGCCCAGGCTGGAATGCAGTGGCTATTCAAATAGTACAATCCATAGCCTCAAACTCTTGGACTCAAGCAATCCTCCTGTCTCAGCCTACTGAGAAAAATTTTGACACAACCATATTGGAAAGATGACTGGAAAGAAAGCTTGCATGTGTGGTTAACAGGCAATAGAATGATCGAGAAGAGAATTTTCTTCCACTAGGATTCCAAGAGATAAGACCTAAAACTGAAAAAAAAAGTAGCATGTTATTAAGAGATATGAAGGCCAATACCTACAGGAACAGCTAACAAGAATTGAGAGTGAAAAATGGAGAGTAGGAGACAGGAACCTTTTTATCCTCATAAACCTTGTGTAGTTTTCTCACTTTCTATAGCTGTAGAACTAAACTTTGGTAAAAAGTAAATCTAATTTTTTTCAAAAAAGTTTCCCTCTGGTTGTTTCTACACTACATAGCAATGGATATTGTTTGCAAAATGCAGATTGAATCTTTATTTCTGTTGTTCATAAAGCTCCATCTACTCCAAAGGCCTTTAGAATTTCCACACTGCAGCCTACAAAGCTCCTTTTTCCCCTGCTGTGTTAGTTATTTTACACTTATCATGGGTTCCTTCCTTAAAAATGCTGCTGACTGACCACTCGGTCATTTACCCCAGACTAATTCTAAAAATAAATGACTCTTGTATGGATTAAATACTGTTATCTCTATCTCTACCAACTGTATAATGTTATACAGTCATTATGCAGGCCCAGATTAATGACATACTAATAACTAAAAGGATACAACTACAGTTCTTCACATAACAACATTTGCATTAGGATGCTTCTAGTTCTGCACCATATAAAGTGCATCGACAAAACAACTACTGGCTTTTATTGCTTGAAAAAATTATTTCTAAGCCTGTCTTTTTAAAACTAAATTTATTGTTAAGTGTGTGGAATACTGAGGGCAGTAGCTGGCTGTATAAGAAAATCCATTTTAAATAAAGATCATTGTTTTTAAAAATAATATGTGTTCAGGTCTGTTTATTTTAGTGGTATTAGCAAAAGACATGACAGGAAAAAAAGATTTTAAATTATTGACTTAGATGGTAAATCCTTAAAATGAAGGAATAATTGACGTCCCTTAGTTTTTCTTTCTATAGTACGCCATGTGAAATTTTAGTCGCATTATTATTTGAGATGCTGGCATGTCAGTGTTTTACTTATTCAAACATGTGTGATTTGGTTTTAAAGAGAAACTTAAGTCCAAAAAAAAAGTAATGTCAATGTTCTCACCAAAATAGGGAGGAACTCTCCTACTTTAATTCATAATGCTTAATAGGGAATTTTCAAAAGCAAAAATACTGTCAGCTGCATTTTCACACTTGGGTGAGAATATCAGTTTGAAGAGGCCTGATTCTCACCCCACACATTGCTTCACAGAGAAGAAAACTCACATAAGGAAACCAGCCAAGTCCAGAGCATCTGCATCTCAGTCCAGGGTTCTTTCCCATGGCATGGCCTCACCCTTGGGGTAAAGGTGATTGTCATCATATATAAAACAATAACTACAATGAAACCGCACATTTATTGAGCACTTTGTATTCGCCTGGCACTGCTCCCACGCATTCCTGGGTTAGCTCCTCTAACCCTCCCAGTTTCCCAAAGACCTGGGTGCTCTGACTACCCCCACTTTACCTAAGGAGCTTGAGGTACAGAGGTTTCATAGCAGTCCAAGATCCCCAGTCGGTGACCGAGCCACAAACTTCACTGCAACCATATACCGAAGCCCTATTTAATACATTAACTTCTTATGGTAAAGTAACTGTGTTATTTCAATGTGTTTGTAAAAGGTCCCCTAAGAGAGCTTTGTTATTAGGCAACTTTCTCTCTTGAGTGTAAGGAATTTCAGGGTGGCAGGGTGAGGACGATTAGAGGAGAAACTTGTGTTTCCTATTTCTAAATATCTGCCAGGTCACTGTTGGAAATCTTTTTTAGAGTAAGAATTGTAAAATACTAATCTTATCACTTGTAAAATATACAGGTCAGTTAAGCAAACTTTCACCACTCAATGCAAACTTGGAGGAAAAAAAAAAAAAAAGCAAGGAGACTTCGGAACGTCTATAAGGCTTTTGGAATTAAAAAATAATTCCCAGCAGCCGACTGCAGCCCTAGTCCTCTGAAGCCCGGGGCGCACCAGTCCCCAGGCCCACCAGGGCACTGCCGTCCGCCCAGTCCCAGGCCTCAGCCACTGCTGTGAGGCTGAGGGGCCCGGGCAGCGATCTGCCCTCCTCTGGGCTCACACACGCCCTTGGTTTTGTATCCCAGGCCACGTGCGCCGGGGCAGCCGCTGACATCGGGACCTACAGGGTAGTGGCATTACGGACAAGTCAGCAAACCGCGGATCTCGCCCGTAGGGTGACACACCCCAAGCCCCAGCCCGCCTTGGGAAGTCTCTGACTTTTAGCTCCTAGCCCTCGAAAGCCGAGAACTAAAGAAGCAGGTTCCGGGAACCATGGCAGCCCAGGGCGCAGAATCCCCCATGGAGGCTGCAGAAACCCGGCGACTGCGAGTTGGGAGCTTAGATGTGGGTTCCTTGCCGAGGCGTGGCAAGCCCGCAGCCGTTGGACACACGTGCCCTTTTTCATAATCGGCAAAGCCCGCGCCCCGCCTGCTTGGCTGGCAGGGGATTCGGCACAGACAGCCTGGAGTTCGAGAGCTCAAAACTTGGCCAGGCATTCCTACTGTCAAACACCTCTCGCCTCTTTGCTCTAAAGGGTGAGTCCCAGGTGGCCAAGATGGCAAGGCGGTGACTGCAGCGCCAATATTGATGGCTTCTCTGTCCACTCTCACCTGTTCCTGGGGCCCTGGGCCTCAGGTTGCGCTGTCCCCTACGACCAACGCCCAGGTGCCCGGCCATGCCAAGTTGTGGACGCGCCCCGCGCCTGGCTCAGCTCCGCTCCCCTTCGGTCTCATTCGCGTGGCACTGGGGTCTCGGGGAGCTTTGCCGGGATTGCACCACTCAGATTCCAGGTGCGTGAGCGCCGAGGGGGAGCAGAGACCGTTTTCCCTCATCGCTGTGCTCCTAATCCCTGACTGGAGGGAGGAGGGATCGCCGCTATGCTGGGATCTCAGCCCGCCTTCCCTCAGATTCTACCCTACAGTAAAATGGGCCACACTGGCGATTACACGTCCGCGTCCACCCGCTCCCCGCAGCCATAGCCACCATCCTTAGCCTCGAGCCCTTTGTTCAGTTTGGGTTTTATTCCAACACCCAAAGACCCATGGAGACAATTTGGAGGACAGGTGGAAAGAAGATTCAGCTCCCGTTTCTTCTAAAGGTACTCCCGCAAAGCTTAGCTCTGGGCGCATTAGAGACTGCGTTGCAGAACACGCCGGGGGAAGTGAGTGCAGCCAGAATTCAGACACACAGGGGCATTTTTGATGGAAACCACAGAAGTTCGTTTATAAGGGGCTGGAAGGGAAATGAAAGGAATGAGAAGAGTGGTTCAACAAGCCTTTAAAAGAAACCTGGGGTCTGTGGAAACAACAGTCAGGGAAACCTCGAGAGCAGGCCAGCCAAGTGGTGACGCCTGGCTGCGAGGCGTCCGCGGACGCTTCCGCACTAAGTTGGGGTGCAAGCCGGCGAAGGACTGAGGAACAAGTTCTTTCCGTCTCGGATGCTTCAGACCGTGGATGGAGCCAGTCACTGGGAGTGCGCCCCCTAATCGCCAGCCCAGTGCTGGCAAAGTGGAAACCGGGAAGAAAAAGCACCCAAGTGGTTTGACAGCACCTGTTGGACCTGGGCACGCAGGAGCTGCGGGCTCAGACGCCCTCCCCTCCAACCCCTTCACCTCCCTGGGACCCCCTCGACCGCGATGGGCGGTCGTCAAAGGTCGTCGCAGCCACACAGCGCATACCTGAACGAGTGCCCGCGCGTACCCGCCCTCAGCGCCGCAAGGGGGAGTGGGGTCTGCAGAGTGGACGGGTGTGCAGGAAGAGCCTCGGAGAGCGGTTGGGTTAGGGCCCGGGGTCCGGGACGCGCCCCTGCTCACCTCTCTCACTGGCCTGGATATTGCGCACGATGTCTTCCAGATCCAAGTCTTTGGTCTCGTCGAAACTGTAGATGGACGTGTGCAAACCCTCCTCCTGGAAGACCTCATGGACCCCCTCGAGGGTGAAGAAGCAGTTCCGCTCCAGCTTGTCGTCGCTGTAGACCAGCGCAGCGCGGCTCCAGTGGTGGTGGCGGAACAGCGCGAGCATCATTTCGCCCATCTTGGCGTAGGCGGGCGCCACGCGCGTGAGGTGAGAGTACTCAGAGTCCTTGTGCTGGAAGCCGGCGGCCAGCGCCCCGGCCGACAGCATGGGCAGGTCCCAATGCGATGCAAGCCGGGCCACTGGCGCTGCTGCATACTCGCACACTGGCCCCAGGATAAGGTCAGGCTTGGTGCCCCGCGCCGCCGCCACGCGGTCTACCAAGCTGAAGAGCGCACGGTTCCCACAGTCCGAGTCCTCGTAAGCCACCTGGAAGCGAGTGCCCGGCGGCAGAAGCCGCCTCCCAGTCCCGTTGCCCTCCACGCTGCGCAGAGCGTACTCGATGGCCGGCCGCACTCGGGTCAGTGAAAACAAGTACGAGTCATCCTGGGGCAGTAACACCAGCACCTCGATCTTCTGCGGCGGCAGCGCCTCTCTCTCCCGGCGTCCGCCGCCTATGCCCGCGCCCCCGCCGCCGCCGCCAGCGCCACCGCCACCAGTGCCGCCTGCCAGCAACGCCCAGCCGAGTAGGACGCACGGGGAGAAAGTGAGCACCAGCAGAGACCGCATCGTGCCTCAAGAAAGCGCTTGCCCTCGCCGCCGACTCGCCCTCTGCCCCCCACCCACCCTTCCTCTTTCCTCCCCACTCTTCTCTCCAAGGTCCCTGCGCCCCCTTGGGCGCTTTAACGAAATAGAATACCCCCTTCAGTAATGCGCCAAAAGATAGAGAGGAAGCGTCCTTCTTTGCAATGTCACTAGTTTTTCTTAAAAAAAGAAAAAAAGAAAAAAGAAAAAGTTCACCGGGTGTAAACCTGTGCGTCTGTACTATACATATATACTTGTATATATTCGCCCTCCCTTTATACATATACTATTTTGCTTAGAGGTGGCTTCTTATTTGGGCGTTGCTAAGGTTGCTTTTGAAAGCGTTTTTGTAAAAGAAAAAAAAAAGTTAGACTTGTCCAAGTGTTTGTAATTGACGATGCATCTCCCTCGCGTTTGATCTCATTGATTCGCGCGGGTTCCTGGATCCATAGCCCGCGTTTAAATAGCGTGGCAGCGGCTGAGCGTGTTACCACACATGGCGCTCCGAGGCCGGGCTTGTATTTCCAGCGGGTAGGGTGGGTAGGGGTGGGAAGAAGTGGGGGCTGGGCTGGGGGAGTCTCTCATTAACATTCTTACATCAGGGCTCCTCCCCGCACCCCTTCCCTACCCATCGCGCCCCTGTCCCTAACCACCACTCCCCGCCGGCCCTCGGCCTTTTCCTTAAAGCTGAAATCGCCCACGTCTGCACCGGCAGGAGCCCCCACCACGCCGCGTGCCTCTGCGATCCCCGCCTCTCCCTTGCCAGCTCCAGCTCCTGGCTTTAAACAAGGAAATGTGCTTTAAAGTAGAGAAATGCGCGCGCGCACGCACACGTACACACACACACCGTGCAAAAAAAAAGAAAACAACAACAACAGGACTGGGAGAAAGGGATGGTTCTAGAAATTGTGGTTTCGGTGCAATAATCCTTAGGTGCCGCTTGCTCTCACCTTTCTGGTTGCGGCCACATTCCCTCCCGACGCACCGACGCGGGGCGAGCACCTGACCTTCCTGGTCCCTCGGTGCAAGGTCAGGGAACAAGGACCAAGGTCCCAGTGCAGATGGCTCCATCGCGGACCTGGTGTGCCCAGCTGGCCCGGGCGTCACCCACACCCCGCCTTCCTCAGTCCCGCGCCAGCCCCCTCCCGCTGGGCCACGCAGGTTCGCGCTGGAATCGCAGTGGTGCCGGGGTCACAGTGTCCCAGTTCATGGACCCTCCGTCAGCTCACTGAGAGCAGGAAAGTGAAACTTGTTGCTCCCAAAGGCGAGCGAACGGTTCAACTTCTGGAGGTGTCACAAAGCTTGGAAAGCATCCCCAAAGCGTCCTCGGGGCTTTGTTTGCTAAACCAGGTACCTAAATAAAGGGACTGCCTTTCCCAAAACGTTCCCGGTAGGTCCCCCGGGTACGACACACGCTCCCCTCCAACCTGAGCGCTCAAAGATCCAACCGCTCCTCATCTGGAGCGCTCCAGGCACTGTGCCGTGGTTCCGCGACGCCAAGAAAAGTTCTGCCTCGGAGACCCAGTCCTTTCACTGGCCACAGCCACAACAGCGGTGGAGACCGGAGGGAAGCGGCTCTGGAGAAGTCCGTGACCAGAGGAGCATCGCGGGAGTCCGCCGTGCGGCTGGGCAGGTCAAAACGGAACTGGACCTTCTTCTGCAAGTCATTTGCAATGTGAACGTGCTACACTAGGAGGGAGAATTCTGACAATTAAGTCCTGCACATTTAAATACATTGAAAATGTGTTAAAATGGTCTTTCATTTAACTAGGCGTCCGTATCCACAAATTTCTTCTAGTCTCAGACCAACGCCCTCTTTCGGCAGAAACTTGCACCCGACTCAACCCCGGTGCGGCAGTCCCAGACCCGGCGTTTTTTACTCCGAGGCCCTAATGCGCTCTGGTTCTCACTTGCGACGGGTAAAAAGGCAAACTGGGGTTTCTGGAGATATGGCAACTTCTGGCGTCAGCGCTCGCCGCCCTTAACAGCACTCTCATCACTCTTTCTGGAAACGTCAATGTGATTATGGGTAATGTTTCAGCTTCTGGGTCATTTAGATTTCAGATTATGCACTGTGATCCTGAAATCTTCCCCGTTAAGTAGGAGCTTCTAATTCCTGCGAGAATTTCCATTTATTTAATTAGCGCCACTAACCAGGAGCAAAAGAGACGTCTGTATAAAATTTAATTCCACAAACAGGTAATCCACACACACTGAAAATTGAGATTTAGTGCTTCACAGCAATTACATCTTTCCTGAATTTGCAGAACGACAGGCATTTATGACAGCATGGATTTAAAAAAAAAAAAAAGAACAACAACAACAACAAAACAAGAGCTAAATCATGAATTCCAAGGGTCTTAATGGATTTCAAAACTGGTTGCCAGGAGACATCAAGGAACCAGGGTTTCCTGTTACTCCGCGGTATGCCCTGTGTCTGGGGAACACCAGCCAATGGCGATATGATTCTGCTGTGTGTGGTGTGGGTTTATGCGGAGAGCCTGGGGTTTCAGTGGCACCAGTGTGAACGCCTGTTCCATCCCAGATGCAAACCAACCTCGCCCGCAGTTCAACAGCAGGGCAGTGCACCTAAGTTAGGGGTGAGTGCCCGTAGCCTCTCCGCAGCTTTTGGACAAGAGCTCTCGACTTGCAGTTTGTCACACTTAAGAGCACCAACAAGACCAAGCTGCGGAAGGGAAGAGACCCCAAACCATGCAGCGGAACGAATAAAAAACAAATGCCAGTGTTATGCTTTTGCTGAGGCTCAAAACACCCCTTATGAATTCCAAGGAGCAACAATTAAGATTTTTTTAAAACCTTTTCAAATGAAAAGAATCACAAGATTATAGGAGGACCCACCAAGTAATGTAAGTGTATGGATTTCAGTGTTATGGGTTTGTTTACTTTCCATCAAATTAGAATTTTTGCAACCAACTAAAAGTTTGTGTAAATATGTAGTTCTAAATCTTCAGGCCAGAAGACTTAAATCACCCAGCCTGACACCCCTTACTCTCTAGATGAATTAAGGCCCAAACAGTATAAATTATATACTTAAATACCTCTTCATCCCCTGAGAATATTTTTAAATTGGATTGGATTCAAAACAAACCATGGACCACCAGTTACATCATGTAAAAGTGTTAGGAACAAAGTTAATTCCTACTCTAAGTAATAACATTCTTTATATCAATTTTTTATATATATAGCTAAGTTTTGAGGCCACTACAGCACAATAAACCCACAAATAACATTTTATAGTAGACTTTTTACAGCACTTTAGTCACAAAAATGAACCAAAAGAAAAAAAAAAGGAAAAAATAGAAATAACTCATTTCTTTGACTCGATTTTTAAATATTATTTCTTTCAATTCTGTAAAACACTGAAATGGGGAAAAAATAAGTATTTTTTTTAACATTCAAAAGAGTGGTAACCTTTTTACTAGGTGCTTCCTTTCTGGCTTCAGTTGTTGAATGAAACCAAAGGAAAATTATCGGAAAATGCTACAAAATGAAAGAAAATTAGCCATTTGAAAGAAAGACGATGTTAGCCCTAAACAGGATATTTCCAAAACTAATAGACTTTTTATGAGGTTTAGAAATGTCTTACTTAAGATCCACAAACCATGTTTTGTTGTTTTGTTTGTTTTTGTTTTTGTTTTTTTTTTAAGCTACTACAATAAGGTGGCAAGTTTTCTATAAAGTATTCAACGGTTCGTTTTTCAGCTCTATGAAATGAAATTGCTGTCTATATGTTATTTCTCACACCAGGAACGACAGCATTAATATAGGGAAACTAACATGTGATTCTTTGAAGTGTATTAGAAATTCTATCAGAAGTAAGTTTTCTCCACCAACCGTAACAGTCTCTGCAACTCTTCTCCCTTGGCATCCTGGCTGCAACCTCTAAAGTAAGAACCCATCCAGATTTTCAAAGGGCCTTTTCTACCTCGTTGAGCCAGTCCTAAAGTTGTACTCAAGAATACCCCTGTGAAGCCTGTGGCCCACAATAAAATACCTTCTGAGGCCAGAATTGTTGAAAACACACTCCCCCCTAGAGGCAGAAAAGATGAAAGAACATTACAAATAATTCAAGAACATTTCTATAATGTAATGAGTGTTGAGATTTCATTCTTTACATACAGTTGCTGTTTTAAAGGGAACTATTCAAGAAGTGGGGAAAAAAAATCAATGGATGCCAAAAAATTAAATTAAAACTTTGCCTCTGGGTTCTCACTTTCCTTGGCAGGAACTTCATTAACTTACCCTTTTTCTTCTATTATACAAATCTATTATTTTAATTTTCCAGCACTATAAATAATAGTAATTTTATTTTTTTCTAATTAAATTTATGATTCAATTTCTTCAGAAGCTGCAGCTAAATGTGACCTTAAGGGGTTCTTTTGAAAACACATAGTTGTTTCTGTATTATAATCCTCTTAGATTTCTATCAACTACAATCTTTTTTTCACTTCTTTGAAGATGTTCTGAGGCAAAGTGACATTTAGAAAGACTTCTGAAAAATATATAGTCTGTGATTTAACCTGAATACTGGCATGAGATTTGCAAGCTATATGAAGAATTCTCATATCATTGATTTATAGACAAGTTACTTTATGTAGATTATTATATTCACAAAAATGAGTGTATGAGGGGACTTCAAAAAGTTCATGTAAAATGGAATTAAAAGATAAAAATTTAAAATATGAACTTTATTTCTTAACATAAGATTCATCAAGTTCAAGACACTCTTCTGAGTGGTGATCTCAACCATGTAGTTTATCCCTAAAAAACCAAGGGTCCTGGAAACTTAACCATGTCAATGTAATCTTTATTAACTGGGAAAAAAAAAAAAAAAAAAAAAAAAAAAAACAATGAGTGCCCTTTACAGATTTTTTTAAGATCTGGAAACAAAGAGAAGTCAGAAGCCAAATCAGGACTATGAGGTAGATATCTAATGATTTCCCATCAAAACTCTCACAGAATCACCTTTGTTTGATGAGAGGAATGAGGAGGAGTATTGTTGTGGTGGGGAAGAAGTCTCTGGTGAAGTTTCCCAGACACTTCTCTGCAAAGTTTTGCCTAACTTTGTCAAAACACTTTCATAATAAACAAAAATTATCATTCTTTGATCCTCCAGAAAGTCAACAAGGAAAATGCCTTAAGCATTCCAAGAAACCGTTGCCATAACCTTGGCTCTTGACCACTTCAACCTCTTGGTAGCTACTGCTTTCATTGTGTTTGTCTTTAGGATCATGTTGGTAAAGCAGTGTTTCATCCCCTGTGTTGAAATGACAACACAGGGACCATTCTTGCATTGACATAAGGAAATAACTGAGACTGGGTAATTTATAAAGAAAAGATGTTTAATTGGCTCATGGTTCTGCAGGATGTACAAGAAGCATGGCACCAGAATCTTCTCAGCTT